GCTGCAACGATCTATATGGCATGCTTTGTGCATTTTCATACAATTCAACATATCTGTACAATCGAAACTATCACGCAAAGCGAAGCAAGCGTTTCATCTGGCACCAGCTTTAGGGATCATAACCCTTACAAAGTAGAATTCTCCGTTTTGTGTTGCCAAAAAAAGATGGGCAGAAGGGCGTAAGGGTGATATCATAGTTTTTTTGCGCAGAACTTCTTTCAAGTGGAAGAATACTGCGAACGGCGAGAGAATGAGACAATGTGCGATAGATGTCAGAATGTTCTAGAGTTGCCATGTGTGCGAAGCAGCGCGCGTATATAAAGGCGCTGCTACAGCGTACTATAAGTTCAGTTGCGAATCAGCAAGCTACAAGCTCGGTTGTGAAACAGAGATCAATTGTTTAGCAAGTTTGGTACAGTGGTGTAATTGCTTTAACGAGTATAGTGTTTGCTGTACAATAAAGTTGATTGTACTGTAATTTGGCCTTCTTGCAAACAAGGATAATCGTTATACGACGTTTCCACAATTCGCTCTCTCATTCGTATTTCGCCCTCCCATTCGTCATTCGCCATTCAATTACACTTCGAATTACGTAATTCGCCATACAAAATTTTGAGAGCGAATTACCTAATTTGTAGGTAATTGAGATCCAATTTCCGTGCGAATGACGAACGAATCGGTGCCTTCTCTAATATTTATTGGAAATATATCGACGTTTTCACCGGCTTGGTAATATTTGCTGACAATTTTTCTAGTTGCTGGAAAATTTGTTAATAAAATATTCTCTATATAAAATAAAATCGTTCATATAATTTAAATTTTTGCTCCATTTTCGATATTTTCAGTACCCAAAAAAATAACAAATGGCGAAAAACAAGAACAAGAAGTAGAGCTGCCAAACGAATTACGAATGTGTGTTGTGTGGAAACAGGGTAATTCACATATTACTTAGCGAATGACTTAGGGCCAATTTCAAATCAATATTTAAATGGCACTTAAGTTTAATTGTGGGTGTGTGTGTGTTGGGTTTCAGATCAACTTTGTTTTTACACTATAACAACAAGATCACATATGAGCCGCTCACCGTCTGTGCAAACGACAGCGAGCATGTTCGTCGTGTGTGGCTAGTGTTAGAAACGGCTTGATGAATGATGAATGAAGTTGTGTTTCCACTTCAACGCGGAGCTGCCGGTTTGTTGGAAAATTCGCTCAATGTTATAACGAATTAAACTGTATATAATTATAAAGCAAACATCTTAATAAACATACATTTAGAAACGTAGTACTTATTATTATAAACTGCCTTATCCTGAGTTTCCAAAAATCATCCGAAATTTGTCATCCGCCCACAGTAAAACCATGGAAACCAAAAGTGAAAAGTGAACCGGTTCGGGGAAAACGAAACTCATGATAAGGCTGCAAATAATTTAACACACCAGTAAAATGAAATAAATTGATTTGCAGCTGCCTCCTAACAAATCGGAGTTACATTTAATATAAACGGCGTAAGCCTTTTCGATCAGCTGTTTAGGCTAACCACATGTTGAATTCAAGTAGCGATAAAATTTGGTGATGGAAAAAATGGCGAAAAGTTGCCAACTGTTGAGCTGAGCGGAACTACTCAACTGCGCCTTTCTAAAACGGCGTTTCCACGCCAACCAAATCACGTGGTTCGCTCTCTCAATTACAAACGGCGAATCAACCTGAGCTCGAATCGTAACATCCGTTCACGGATCGAAAACGATACGAAAGAAAATTACGCGATAAGTCAGGCGGTATAAGCTGAATGGGACAAAGAGTGTTTACGCAACACATTCGTGATTCACTTTGCATCTTTGCTTCTTGTTCTTTGCATTCGTTTATTGTTTAGTGTGTTTTTTATCGTGCATTTCAACGGTGGAGAAAACATTCGTAGTGGTTGAATAGCTAAATCAATAGTTTTAACGAATCTGGCTATTTTTTCAATGCTTGCGCTGGTGAGTATGTGTGTGGTCTAACAAAAGAAAGAAACAAAAAAGAACTGAAGGAAATACATGCCATAGCGGCTAATAAAGGATACAAGGGAGATCTGGTAGAGGAAATCCGAAGGCAGCACAGAAACAAAAAGTCAAACAGAGAAGAGAACAATGACAAAAATTGTGCGGTATTAACCTATACTGGAAAGTCAAAGTACAAACTAGCAAATCTGTTCCAGAAACACAAACTTTGCACATCATTTAGAACAAATAAAAACGTGGGACGGATATGGAACAGAAATCAAATATACCCATTGGATAAACAAGGAGTGTATAAAATAACTTGCAAATGCCAAACATAACGGATGTTAATATCAAGACACCGAAGATGAACCTATTAACTGCTTCTAAAAAAAGGACACTATGGCATCCTTACTTCCTTACTAATATTATAAATCCGAAAGTGAGTTTGTTTGTTTGCCACGCTTTCACGCTTTAACTACTCAACCGATCATCATGAAATTTTGTACACTGCTGTCATTTAGCCCAACTTAAAATATAGGATAGATTTAATCTCGATTAGACAAGGGCCGTGGCACCTTCAATACAAACGGAATTTTTCATACTGCATTACTCAGGAAATATTTTTGATAGATTACTGGAACTTGGTATCTAGATATATAAAATCATTATTTACTCATGGATGAGGTCTGCCACCCTTTAAAACAATCAAACTTAACTTCAATTAAGGGAGTTACTTATTTCAAAATTATATTAAAAAATGAATGTCATGAGGCTTAAAAAAGCTGTAGTTCGAATATATTTTGAAAAGGGTTGCCACCTGTTTGAAAAGTAAAATTTAAATTAATTATACGCAAGCTATCTGAAGAATTAAAATATGGTTGCCTAACGAAATATTGTTAAGAAACCGTTAGTTTGAAAGTTTTGCATAATATTTCAGTCTTTCACAAGGTTGGCCACCTTTTTAAAAATTAAATTCAATTATTTTAAATTAAGTATTACAGTAAAATGCGCGCAATGGTTCTGGCGGTAGATTTATCGGTGGTGATTTGAGATTTACCCCTGCACAACTCAGCCTTGGTGTCTCCGAATGAAGCTTTAATCATAACACACAAGAGTTCGATATACTCAGTGGTGCAGCAGGTCGATTTAATCTGATATTCACGGCACTTTTTCTAACTTGGCGATTATTCGTAATGACTCCAGCGACACCTGGCAGCTTTTTTTGGCAGTAGTATTGCCTTTACCGTTACCAATACATATTCTGAATATTAGCCAAAGTGAATCATAAATAAGATTTTTAGTAATAACTTAACTCCAGCGCCAACTGGCGAGTGAAATTGTCTACACTATCCAGAGAGCCACCCAAAAGCATACAAAAAGCTTTGTTAAAATCGTTCCGGGCATTTAGGAGGATTTCACTCACAAACACACATACAAAATAATTATATATATATTTTGTACGGTGCCACGCCCTTTTTCCAAATAGCCCATTTTTCTCCATGAGTATAAGATTGATTTCATATATCGCCGTGCCAAGTTTCAGTATTCTACCATGAACACCTCCAGAGATATGCAATATGAAAATATCGGTTTGTATGGAACGTGTCACGTTCTTTATATAGATCGAAATTTTGTTTAGCCTATGACCATCCTTGGGGCGTCTGACAAAGGTTTTAATTTGAAAATATTTTGAAGATGGTTAAACAAATTTTAAACCTCCTGTTTTCTAATTAAGTTTTCTTGAACTAAATTTTGCTCAATGTAGCACGTAGAAATTTCATTTACTCAGCGAAGCAGGTGTGGGCGATCTAGTATCTAATAATTAATCATCGAAGAAAATCACATTATCTAAGATAAATGAACATAAATTAAGGACAAAAATTCGAACCAGACAGAACGTAAAATGACCCTGAAGATGGCATAATTCCCTAACCGGCTTGTCTGCAAACCAAGCTTGAAATTCGTTCCAAAATTAATCATCTTACCACCCTGTCGGAAAAATCAACCATCACCGACATAAGCATTTTTTTCTCAAAAAGTATCAGAGAAAAATCCGAAAATTTATATCATGTATTTTTTTAGTATCTATCAATTAAAAAATAACGAAATGTATATTGAAACTAATTTTTTGAGACGTATAATGTATGTACTTTTATTTATTTTTCTTGCGTTACAAGAACAAAAGAAATTTGTGTGTACTTCACTTCACATACATATAAATTTATACGTATGTTTATACTTTTACAACTAATAAAAAGTCTTACATTAAATGGCAACGTATGATTTTGCTTTTTAAAGCGAGATATTTAAGTAAACAAGGAACAAAATAATAGGGCGTCAAGACACACATATTGATAGCAAGTTTAGTCAGAAAGAAGAAAGTTGCAGAGCTTTTGCAAATAAAGACAAAACTCGATTTCTTTTTTTTCAAAAATTCGATTTTATCCGAATTTTTGCACCACAAAGTTCGATTGTGGGGCAAAAATTCGATGAAAATTCGAATCTCGAATTTACCTGTCCCTACTTCATTACCAGCTTATGAGATGGTAATAAAATTTACCGGGTACGAGAGTACCTAGAATGCGAAAAAGTTTTAAAATTTGGCGGAATAGACATTTAAATATTAAGTTACACATACAAGTTTTAAACATTTAGTATTAAATTTATTTCAATAATGGTGATTTCTTTTTTACCAAGAAATTTTGCCTTTTGATTGCCCCTTTCTCTTTTCGTACTCGATTATAAATTATATGCAAAGGGTGAAAACATTTTGTGTTCGTTCCTTAAAGGTTCGTTTAAAAAGGCACCTTTTCTGCCCTTTGAAGATTTGTCAGGGGAGATGGTTGCCCTGAAAATCAGATGTTTGCTTAAAACGATAATATAATGAAATGCGTGAGCTGGACAAGGACAAGAAGGCAAAAACATGGCTTTTCAAAGGGTTGAGTGTTACATCAAGCACATTTTGTAACGTGCTAGGGCAACATTTTTTGGTAGAAACGAAATCACCATAAGCCAACTTACCAAACAATAGTGAAAAATTTGCGATCATCGCATAAGGAACCAATGACTTCAAGTTCGGTATACAGTAAATCAAACATAGTGGGAGGATTTCGAAGCACATGTATATTCGACTATCCCAAATGGACCAATAATGGTCACCAAGATCTTTCACACAATTCGCTATGAAAACTACGTAGACACAACAGGAACCGAAATGATAAACGAAAAGAAATGAGTTCACACTGCAACTGTAATTATAAAAGAAAGAGACAATTAATAGAAAATCTCTACTAAACACTTTGGGATAAGAGTATCGTATAGTAGAGACCAACAGCAACGTTAATCAGGGTTAACGGCGCAGTGGCTCTAATCAAAATTGTTCCCTGACAGACGGCTGTATTGCGCATTAAGCATGCCGCGAGGTAGTGCGTTCGAATCCCACGACCAGCAAACATACAAACTACACCACAGCGGCCGCCGTTCTCTTCTTAATAGTTTTTTGTTAATCCCAGTGAATAAAACGGTTAGGTTTTACCAAGCTTTTATTTAACTTCACTTACTAATTTTGCTATCAATTTTACCCAGCTTCCCGATGAGCTAGAAACTTAAAACTTTAAACTTAGCGCAAAACCCGATGACAATGTAATATGACAGACGAATTTATCCACTAGGGAGCGCAGGTTTAGAGAAAAACCCGTATTTATGATCCGCTATGGTTCATATTTGGAAACCATATATATTACCTTCATGGAAGGAAATAGCTCCACAAAAGGTTTTTTTGATTTATTTTATTTGAAAAAACTTATTCGGGCGTATTCATAGTCAAAACTAAGTTCATATTTAAAGCTACTTGCGGCTTTGTAACGTAATTTTTAATGGGTTATCTGTCAAGAACAACTTTAAGTACCAACTTAGTTTTGCCTTTTAACGCCGTTTTTCACAACAATCGATGTTTTGCTTTAAAACATCGAAAACACCTCCACCTCTACGAACTTGGGGCTCAGTTAGTCCAGACTTAATTTACGTAACGTTACCTAATATATTGGCCAACGCAATATTATTTGGTTTACGAAGTTTTTGAAGTTGCTTATATGCGGAAAAGTGACCAAGCTGAAAAGGAAAATATAAAAACTAAATATTTTCGCTTCCGGCTGACTTGACGTGTTGAGTTATCATTGACGATTTCCTACGTAAGTCAAGTCTAGACTATCTAGACTATTATACTTTTTTAACTGTTTATATAAGGTTTGTTCGTCGAAAATCCAGCAAGAATTATCCAACACTCAAAATATCAGAGAGTAAGAAAAAATTCTCTCAAATTCTCTCTCTAGTTGAGAAACTTGCAAATTTCTGCACGAACGCAAATTTGCAGGAATTTGCAAGTGTCGCTGCCAGCTGGCGTCCACGGTTGCATTTCAAACATAAAAAATTTTTATAGAATTTTTAAAATTCTTTCGGATGGCCAAAAACAGGATATGCATGTATATTTCTTGTTGTTCTGACTTTCTTTAACATACATTTCAATTTCTTCATCGTACTAGCTGTCGGGTTTCTTAAATCGACTCTGGTTGCAATTGCATTCCGATTGCGAATACCATTTTTTTCAGCCGAATTAAGTTCAAATCATTGGAATTAATTATAACAACAATTATTTACTTCCTTTTTTCATAAAAAAATCGCTCGTGTTTATAAATTTTTAAATTTAAAGAACTAATTTATTCAAATTACTGTAGACAAAAATGCAACCATGCGCCACAACCACATGATTTTCGTGTTTGCAAATTCTTGCTGGCAAAATTTTTTCCAGCAAGAATTTGCAACTCCTCTCCAAGAGAACTGTCACTTTGCTCTCACAATTTTTGAGTGTTGGATAATTTTTTGGTTTGCACGAACGCGATTTGGGTAAAAATCGTGATAATTCGTACAAATTCGTACAAATTTTTTGCTCGACGAACAAACCTATAGTCAGTGCGAGTATTTTCTTCTATTTATATAAATACGATACTAACCGTAATACTCTCTGCAGTCCACGCATACACGGTGGTCCCTCAGCAAGTGCTTCCACCACGCCTTCGGCATACGTAAAGACTGGCACTCGTCTTCGTTTTGCTATCTCATACAAGCCAGACATCTGGAATTAGCCCAAAATGGCTATATGACAAACACTTTCTACGCACGTAACGACTTTCTCACCAATATTTGTTTAGAATATAAGACAATAAGACCAATTAAAGTTGTACTAATCAACGCATTCAACCAGCCGGCATTGTGAAACGCCATAGGCGCGACCAATATACCCGTTCCAATAATTGCTTTAATAACATTCATTAGCGCACCAAGATTTCTTTCAATAAATAAACAATAATTTGTAAATGTTATGTAGTTCCGGATTCTATTAAGCACTTACGATATGGGAAAGGGCACCTCCCGATGCTCGTACGGAATATAATCATCTTTTCTAAAGAAAGAAAGTCAACATTGAACATAATTTAATCAAAAAACTTACGATTCGGCCATTATTTAATAGAGTCAACCATGCAATTGCTAATCGAATGAATCTCTCAAATTAACTGTCATATTCCAGACTTAGGGTTACGTATTTTTTTTTTAAATATAAAAAAGAGAATATAATAGATAAATGTTTGTACAAACACTTACGCCAGAATATTTTTTTACACATATTCAGCAGATTCACAAGTCTTCTTAAGCGACTTAATGTCTAAAAGTCTTAAAATCTTTTAAGACCTTACGATGCTTAACACGTCTTCTTCTGTGTTGGCGCTGTAACCGCCTCAGCGATTGAGTCCAAAATAGCACGCAAGTCGTTTATGTGCTGTGCCAACTGACGCCTCTTGTAAATACCCTAAATGTGTATGGGGTTTTGCATTTTGATTCTCAGGCATTTCCCCCTTTCATTCCTGGTGGACTGCTAATCGTTTCTTTTAAAGCGCAGCAGACAATACTAGGATGTACGTTTTATTACCTACTATAGTTCATTGTTAGTCACCCATGCGTGCTTGACCTCAACTTCCGTCTTATTGTTGGTGAACCTGGGACCTGCAGTCTAACCATTGACTCTCCTAAAGTTCATGCCGCTGACGCAAAGCTTCTCTTCTGTTCTTATTTTGCGCTGTAACCGCCTAAGCGATTTTGGCCGAGTTCAATAAAGCACTCCAGTCGTTTTTCTTCTGTGCAAACTGCCGCCAATTGGAAATTCCAAGAGAATCCAAGCTCTTCTCCACCTAGACTTTCCATCGCAGCGAGGCTCCTTCTTCCTCTACTACCACCCGCGGGTTCCGAGTTGAATACTTTCAGAGCTGGATCGTCGGTGTCCATTCGAACGACATGATCAAGCCAGCGGATCCGCTGTATTTTAATTCGCTGCACTATGTCCATGTCGTTGTAAAGCTCATACGGCTCATCGTTCCATACTTCTAATGCTCCAAGAGCCGCCGGATGTTTTCATTATACGTCGAGAGAGGACTTTTATCCTGAATTGCCTACTCAGTTCAAAGTAGCTCTTCTTGGCAAGAGTGATTCGGTGTTGGATTTCAAAGGTGACATTAAATTCGGTGTTTATAATGGTTACCAAGTAAACGAAATTCTCTACTTTCTCGAAATTATAACTGCCAGCAGTAACGGAGGGCCCACGCGGCAATGCGCTGCCGGTTTTTTTTTTATTACAGGAGATACTTCGTGTTGTCCTCGTTTACCATCGTACCCATTCGCTTTGTTTCCTTATAAAATGCAGAACAGATTTCGCGGTTTTTGTTACCGATGTGTCGATGTCGAATGCATTTGCCGTCTGTTGTGATTGCAGCTTTTCGACGTTAAGCTTTCCTTGCATATTCGGGCGCACATTTTTTGCTGCACAGAGGCGGGTGCGTATCTTGGCTGCAACAAGATAGTGGTCCGAGTCGATGTTTGGGCCTCGGAGT